TGCTGTGATACACTTTCAAGATGCATTCGGAGGTTCTGGCCCAGTCAGGTCCTCACGGCAGTGGGTAAGTGCCATGAGTAGCTCCTATCAAAATGAGACTCTTGACCTCAGGAGTGTGGTCCTGCATTGATACAATATCACTCTGTGACAGAGACGGCGGTGCTGGTCCAAGTATCCGACGCTGCGACTCGGAGAATGCCTCGGCGTCCTCTCAATGGTCTGCATCTTTCGTACCGACAGCATGGAGCTAGCGACGGCCCCCTCTTTCTTACCTCCGAAGTTTTCGCACCGTTGCCGTACCGACCTGCCAGACATGACAGGGCCAACAAGCCCTCATTTTGGTTGCGCCAACATCCTCTCAGGTCTAGCATGACGAGGTGCGTATTACTCCTTGCTCGCTAATTGGGAGTGACCGTGTAGTCGCGCTCCTTGTGCAACAAAAGCTTGCCGGGCGTTGTCGCAGGATACGTACTGCAAGATCTATGGCCGCTGCAAGCGTATGCGTCCGTTGCATCGTCAACCCTGGCCCTGGCCATTCATTGACGACATCCCTAGTCGCTCGTCCTGTCCATGACCTACACCTTTGATGATTCCCTGATATTGCTGCGATCTTGCCGCCGCAGTTCCCAGGGCCGTGTCCACTATTGTTGCTGTGGAGATGTTCTTGGTAAATCGCGCGTCGTCGCTCGTCGCTCGCCCATACGGGGTTTCCAAGGATCACATTCGGGTCAAACAGCTACTGATTCATCGTTGGGGCAGGACTCCTACCCGGCTGTCTACAAATCGAGGGTCGCGAATATGAGCTCCAACCGCCAAGTATCTGAGCGAATCCACTTCTCCCGACATGGCTCATCGCCTTCGCCTAAGTAGGCAGGATACTGGCCGGGCGGCTTGCGGGCAGCGACAGAGTCCGTCTAGTCCCCAGATCTTCTCGAGAGATTCGGTGTGGGCCAAGTCAATCTGGTCTACGTCTGTCGGCCGCCGCTGGTGTCCGCAGGGAAGAGAAGCGATCTCAGCGTACGTACGAGGGTCCAGTGTGCAACTTAGTGGCACTCATTACCAATCCCCCGCGGCCGTCTCGCGTGCCGGTATACCGTCCTTTCACTCATCACAGTCACCCTTGGTCGTACCTGGCAAAGTTCAGCGGGCAGCCCGCTCCTTTCGCCCGAAGGTCAGTTACTCGCTGGACAGCCTCATGACATGGTGTGCGACACCCGTCTGACTCGCACACATCCCGACAGATTTGGCCGTAACATTCGGTGGCCGCGATCTGCATCCGCGACGGCCCCAGGAACCATCCTTCCGTTTACGTGACCTGGCCTGCGAGCAACTCCTGGAGCCTTTCCAGTTTACGGATGCAATTTGCATTTCGGCAATAGCATGCAATATTGCGGATGATGCAATGAGACCGCGGCTCCGATGCCCGCTACCATACGCGATCCCCGCATGGCACGTCCGGCCGGAAACAGCGGAACCTTTTGCGTAGCGCTAGCCTCCATGAGGGCCGTAGTGGGCCCTTGTAGGCCCTGTTGTCTCGTTCATGGCTCAATCCTTGCGGTGCAATGCACTCTGCGAGACGATATGACGGTATGTCTCATGCTCATTGTTCGGCGACTGGGACCGCGACCGGAAACTTACGCGTCGGTTCTCACGTTTATAGCGATATGTATTGGCCTGAGCATCCGCCAGCGCGTGTTCAAGCAACAGATTCCGCTGCAAGATCCCTTGGGAGATTCACGAGGTATGGATCTCGTCCTCTCGACATTTCTTCCTTTGGCCTCGCTCCCGCGCTTGAGCTTGAGCTCCCACGACCGGTGGACGCTCCAAGAGGGATACGTCGGGCTCCAAGTTGGCGGTTGTCCACTCTGAAGGCCGAATGACTCACCGTCATTCATTGGGGTCAAAGATGATCATCTGGGATGTCGGGCTGTAACCTGTTGGTTGCACTCCGCACTTACTCCCTTTGTTCCGCACCATCTCCCCGTGACTCCGAGTCCTTTTCGGGAAGCAGAAGCACCCCGCGAGTATTCGTCTGGATGGCCGCGAGACCAAGTGCAGAGATGTTGCATAGGGTATACCGGCTACTAGTCGGACAGGGCATCCCAGATTCGCGGTGTGAGTCGCGACTGTCGCTCCGTATCCTCTAAGCTGACGGTTGACCATTCACATCCTCCGTCAGGCTCTTAGCAGCGCCAAGGTAGACTCTGTCATCAATGACCGTGGAAAGCCGTGGAAGCTCTCGTGTTCTTTCGCACGTTGTAGAAGCCCATTTCCTGCTGATTCTCCCGCACGCCAGAGAGCTTATTGTCTGGCGGTGGCAGTCGTGGCGGTTCGCACTTCGCACAACTTCACCGCTAGCCGACGCGACCCTTCTGTGAACTCGCTCGATCTGAAACGCGCGGGCGGGATCTCATTGCCGAGAACGGTCGCTCCCTCTTCCTCAGAGTCAAAGCTCCCTGAGCCTTCGCGTGGTGGGCCCGCAATTTCGCCACACCGCTTCGAGGTCCCACCGCGCCCCGCTGCGCGAATGCTGCCATGTGTTCCGCATCACCACCAATTTCCTCCGAATTTTGCAGGAATATTCCGGCTGGGATCCTTCCCCTCACTCCCTCCGCGGTTCGCTCTTGGCTGCGCCTGCGACATATAAAACACCGGTTTACGACCATGGGGTTCGACCATTCCTGTTCGTTCTCCTCACAAGTTTCCTCCCCTTCGTTTGTGTTTCTCGTGCTCTATTATCCGAAGAAATGGCTGTCGCTACTGCTCCCTCTTCCGACTCACGCCCGACACGGCTATTCTTCCCTGACCTCATCGCCGCTTTCCCTTACCCTCTGCGCGTCAACCGTCACGGCCAGCGTGTCTCCGAGGAGTCGAAGCAATGGCTCCTTGCCGGATGTCGCCTTAGCAAGAAGAGGCGTGCGGCGTTCGACGGACTCAAGGGCGGCCTCCTTACGGCCGAGTGCTACCCGCTCGCGGACTACGATCAGCTGCGAGTCTGCTGCGACTTCATCAACTACCTGTTCAATCTCGACGACATTTGCGAGAAGCTGGACGGCAAGAGGGCGGCGAGCACGGCGCACGAGATCATCGGCGCGTTGCGCAACCCCCACGGTTACCGGCCGACGTCCGCAGTAGGAAGGCTGACGCAGAGGTGAGTATCCTCGAGGCGGGATCACATTCAGTTGTCGCCTTCCCTGTCTGCCTCCGTCTTCGCCTTCCACGTGTTGAATTGAGCCTGGAGCCTGGAAACTGACGAGGTCTTCTTCCACAGTTTCTGGAGCCGGCTCACTGCCACGGGCTCCCTCAACGCGCAGAAACGGTTCATCGACACCTTCGAGCTGTACTTCCACGCCGTCATCCAGCAGGTGAAGGACAAGGCGTCCGACACCATCCCCGACCTCGAGTCGTACATCGCGATGCGCCGAGATACAAGCGGCTGCAAGCCGTGCTGGGCCCTGATCGAGTATGCGTACAACGTGAGTGTGGAACCTTCGTGCTTATTGCCTCCGCGCGAGAAGATTGGTCTCACGACGTGCCGGCAGCTCGATCTTCCGGACTGGGTCATGGAGCACCCCGTTGTCGAGGGCCTTGGTGATGCAGCCAACGACCTGGTCACGGTAAGTTTGTTCGTGGGTCCTCCTCCGCCGGAACGTATACTGACTGATTGACCCCGCGTGCTCCTAGTGGTCGAACGTAAGTCTTCTTCGCATTGTGCCGCGTCTTCCCTCTTCTCCCGCTCCCTCTATGGCATCCGACGCTGACTTCTCTGCTCCCGCCTCGTACAGGACATCTTCTCTTACAACGTGGAACAGGCTCGCGGTGAGTACTCTCCACGAATCTCATCTCGGCCTTTTGCTTCCCCACATCACGTACAGTCTTACTCACGCGCGTGTCTCACCACTTGCAGGCGACACGCACAACATGATTGTTGTCGTACAGAACCAAGAAGGGCTTGAGTTGCAGGAGGCGATCGACTACGTCGGCGACCTCTGCTTCGGGTGCATAGACCGCTTCGAGGCGCTCCGCAGGGCTCTCCCCTCGTGGGGCCCCGAGATCGACGCCCAACTGCAGGTGTACATCGACGGCCTCGCCGACTGGATGATCGGCAACCTCGTCTGGTCGTTCGAGACCACCCGGTACTTCGGTGCAGATGGCCCACAGGTCCGCCGCGACCTATCCGTCGACCTCCTCCCACGTCGTAAGTGAGATGATGGCCGGAGGATAGTCCCGAGCCGCCGTGTGTACTTCACCCAGCTCATACCGGAAGTCGACTCGTAAGTGCGCCTCTGTACTCCCATGTCTCGCACCGCATTAACGTCGACTAAATTCAAGTCTCCCCATATCTCCCACTCCTCACAGCCCTCTAGCCTTCTCTCTTCTAGCCTCCTTTCGCGTGTCAGCCTCGGCATCACCCGGCCATTCAGACTTTTACACTCCTTACGTGTCGCTTTCGCGGCCGCCGCGTGGCTATGGAACGCCACCACACTACTCCCTCCCTAGATGTGATTCCTAGTACCTACGATGTAAATACCCCCGCTCTCTCTCTCCCGTTCCCATGTCAGCATCCCGGATTTCCGATGGAACCGCACTTCCTACCCCACTCGGTCGGAGCAGATCCGCACCACCTTCGCTATTACTTATCCTATTTTCACCTGCACTGTATATCCTCCCGGACTTCTCTCGCACACTCTGTAGCATGATGACCCCGGTCGCCCTTCGTTTGGAAGCTCTACGTTCGCAGTCATAGGTACAACGTACTTACAAATCACACTCTCACTGCGCTTAGACCACTCGCGCGTAATACACGCCGTGACTTTTTGCGTTGCGCCGTTGTCTCCTCGCTCCCTTTGTGGCTACCAAAGCGAATCCCTGAACTCTTCACCAAACCGTATTATGATACATGTTATCCCCGCCCGAGCCTCATGGTGGAATGATCACTGTCACTGCAGTGCACGGATACAACACAACGGGAGGGGAAAAAGGGAAATCGTTCTCCACACAGGTGCTACCAGGGTTCGAACCTGGGTTACGGGAAAGTGAAGTTGCGACCGCTTGTAACAATCAAAATCCCGAGTGATAACCACTACACTATAGCACCTTGTATACCAATCTGCATTAGCTTGTACTTGATCGGTTTTATCTATTGACATTATATGTTGGTGTCCCGCACTTGTGTATGTCCATTGTCCGGTGTCCATGATACGGAACTATGATGTCCCAACGGACTGTCCTTTTGTCTTATATAAGAGAGCTGACGACCAGGCAGTTATATCCTCATATACACTCACAACATCCTCTATGGACGTGTCCGTTGCATTCAAGGACTTCCACTAGTGGCATCGCCTGCCAAGATACATATTCATTTATTTGTCCTCCTACCACATCGAAACCAAGTACTAGTCTCACAAACGCTGGAATATCTTCTCATGATATACAGACACCGCTCAATCCCTGCGGTAACCGTCCACGAAGTCGGAGTTCTGTGACGAAGGTCGTCAGCGCAGGAGCGGAGTGAGATATTGACGAATCGAGGAACCGACACTTACCTTCGTGTAAATGCCACCGCGATCATTCATCCTTGGCGTCGGTGCAGGTTCACCGACGTGACCATTGTCGTTCTGCGTGCCCTTTCGGGGATCGCCCTGGAAGAGTAATCAGCGCGCCATCAATTTCGGTGCAACAAAACACATACATGCAGCGACGTCATAATGGAGGCGACGACGCCCTTGTCGTGCGTGCCATCGTCACGCTTGGGCGCGTGATTGTCCTTCCCGCGAGGGTCCATGCTGGCCGACTTGGATCCGCCACGCTCACCAGATCCGCCGTTACCGGTACCACGCCCTTCGTCACTCGGTGCCCGTGCCTGCACCATGCCGCTGGACGCCGCGCCACCCCCACCCGGAGTGTTCCTCGTATCGGCGGGCATGGCGGTCTTGTACTGAGTAAGGCTCCTTCGCGTTGTTCACCTTCGTACCCGTTCCTCCGGGCGTGCTGACGCGGGCGTTGAACTCTGGGGCCTGCTGGGCGTGGCGGAATTGCCCTGTAGCGGCGACGCGTTAGCCATAGCGGACAGACGGTTGAAGCTCAAACAAACATACATGTAGGCATCTCGGCAGGGTCAGAGGAGGTATGGCTTCGGTTCTGCTTCTTGAACTGCAAAAGCCAGAACGCGCCGAGTCCAGCTGCGACGGTAGCCATGCCCAAAATCATGGTCTGTGGGAGTTCGATGTCAGGAGCTTCCATGAACGAGTCGGGGAGGGCCTGCGTACCCTGGGGCGACCGCCCTGCCCGTGCATGTGCATGTGTGCATTGGGGTTACCTGATGCGAGGTTGGAGGTGTGTCCGGGCTGCGCGCTCATGTTGGCGGGATGTGCAGTGGGCGTTCGTGCGGGAAGAGGGAAACTGACGTCCATAGCCGGACGTTCGGTTTATGTATGCGTCTCACCGGGCACGAACGCGGGGGCAATCGATCGTGAGGTCACCAACCGCCTATTCAGGCAAAGGCGTTGCCATTTCTGGCCACGACGCCGCTCTCAAGAGCTCGCGCGGACGAGCGTCGTCATACCCGTCCTTCTGTGACGGCGGAGCGCCTGTGATACCTACGAGGCCTAGAGTAGCAGAACCCGCGCGTGTGAGTGAAGCATACTGTAGTTAGTGCAATACGGCCTCGACGGTGCACGCCGGGACCTAGTGGTACTCGAAAGCAGTCGCCCACCGGCGTCCTCGGTCGAGAACCGGCGAGCACACGATATGCAAGTAATCCCTCGGAGTTAGGGGCGGCATGGGCCGCCGAGCAGCGGACAGAAACGACAGCGTAAGTGAAGACACGCGAGCGCGAGTGACTTCAAACCATAGGCCCGTCTGCGTTCGTATGAGGCGTCCCAATGCCCATCGAGGAGCGCGGTGCATTTGGTTCTAGGACGGTATAGTAAAACATTGCTTGATCCAAACGCGCTCACCACGGCAGGTGGTCGCCCTTGTAGTCGATGAACTGTCCCGAATTCTCGGGCGTGACTGCAGTAATGACCTTGAGGACGCCCTCAACGCCTTCCGAGACTTCGAGCGTTGCGTGGGGGCCCCCGGCATCTGCGGTTGGCAACGCGAAAATGGGTCAGAAGGCTTGACAAAGGACGGGAAGGGTCGAAGCTCACCCGTCTTCAGCCAGCCAGGCTCCATGCACACGAAGGTAACCTTCTTGTTACCTCGAGTCTGCTTGGTGGTCTGCGTGCCGCGAGTCAGAGAGAGCTATGCGTGATGTTGAGAGACCTGACGTACGAGCATGTTCATGGCAGCCTTCGAGATCGCATAGGAGGCGAACATATGCCCCATGCCTGCCGGGACTTCGAGCGTATTGCTGCCTACGGCACTGGAGATGTTGAGGACGACCTTCCTGCGGCTCTTCTCGACGAGAGGGATGAGGCACTGGGTAACGTAGGCCGGTCCCACTACGTTGGTGAGGAAGGTCTGTTGGAGCACGTCCATGTCCATGTCGTAGGCGGTGTCCATACCGCCCAGAATCTGCAGCCGTGTGCCAAGAACAGAAGTGTAGTACCCGAATCATCAACACCTGATCAGCCTGCATAGTACTCTGGGGACGAGGCACTCACAACACCGGCGTTGTTGACGAGGTAGTCGATCCCCTGTCGCCGAGGATGATGGCGACTTCCTCTGCACACTTCCGGACGGACTCGCGGTCAATCACATCGATGGCGACGATGTGAAGCTTGCTGTTCGCGAGTGCGCGCAGCGCATCCGCCTTCGAGGGATTGCGGCACGCAGCGATGACGGTGTTGCTCGGGGTCTGGAGAAGCTGCCTTGTCATCTCCAAGCCGATACCCCGACTGGTTCTGTGGTGGAAGTCAGCGGGGGGATCTCATAGAGTGTGAGTTTCGGGCCTCCACGCACCCGGTGATGAACCAAACGGTCTCTTCAGTAGCGGCCATGGCAGATCTTCAAGCCCTCAATTCTTCTGGAGTAATGGCTGTTGCAGTTCTGGAGTAAACTTTGCTCTACGTTGCGTTGAGACCTTTATACCTCCACCCTCTTCCCCTCCCCCCATGACGCGGAATGTCGACTTCACATTCGCGCGACTGCCGCCGCAGCTGCGGCGCAGTCTTCTGAAGACCTCTTCTAGGTACTTGGCCATCCTTTATCCGCGTCATGCATATTCGGTGAGACATCGCGGACATCAGTGTGGGTCACCGGTACCTCCGAGTCACTGTCCTGCACTTTGGGTCGCCCCGACCGGCTTGCGGTTGCAAGCCAGTTCAATTGTAAAGGAAATCGCAGCATAGTCCGGTCGGGATACCTTGAGGACCGACCGCTGTTGGATTGAACATCGAAGATGCGCACGCAAGTACACCGTGACGCGAGGTGGGGTATTTGGATTCTGGAAAGACGTGTACAGGGTATCGGCGAGACCCTTTGCGGGACAGATGTCTGCATCTATGAGGGAGTAGAGACTTTCAGTTGTGCATTGCGCGGACGTGTGTTAGCACAGATACTCTGCGATACTTGAGACTTTGAGAGATGTCAAGCAAGAGCGAAATTCAGCAACGAGCCGGTGCCGTCTGAGAGTCGAGGAGTTCAAGCTCAACAAACGATGACAACTTTTTGCAACTGCACTGGCCGTAATGCATATGCGTTTGCAAGGATTTCTAGGCATCATGGTATCATGTTGAGCTAGACAAAGAAACAAGCAAGCAGAGGATGCATCACCAAGCGTTCAACTACTTGAGAGTTGAGACGGTCGGCCTCGACGGCCCGGCGCAAGTCTTCCTAAAATGGAAGGTCAATTGTGTCACGTGGTTTGGCCTGGACCGCACGTGGATGGAACGCGACGCGCCGGGCGTCTCCTGGGTTGACCTGAACCTCCTGCGCCCGCCTCATCGCCTGCGAGGTGCTGCTTCTGCCTGCACGACGCGACACATTCCTCATCTAGCTTGGCACTGCCTCGACTACGGAAACACTAGATGAGCCAGACATCCACCATTCCTCGCACAAGAACCACCATCTCGCGCAACACTTCGTCAATCCTGCTCTCGCCCACGAAGCGTCGGCGAACAGACACAGAGCAGCCGTCTAGGAGCGCAGAAGCTGCGAGCAAGAGACAAGATAGGGCTTACGAGACTGAGGCTGCTCCGCCGACTGCTGCTGAGATCCTCAGATGGACCTTCACGAAAGCAGCGGTCGCTTCCTGCTTCATCAGGGATGTGTTCGAGATGAGGGAATGTGGGATGAAAGGTGAGTAGCTCTCAGACTCAACATACTTTCAGATACGATTGGGATATTGCTCCTGCTCGATGTCGGTCCAGAGAGCGGCCGTCCTCAATGTGACGTTCTCTGAGACCTTCATCATAAGAACCATCGCGGTTGGCGCATGGCTAGGGTGCTGGTGCTTGTGCTCGAAATCCTTGAGACATCTGTTAACATATCTCTTAGATATGGAATACTTCTGGCTGGGTCGCATTCCGTGTCGGACAGTGCGTCTCGTAGGTCTCATAGTCGGTGTACAAGTCTGGGAGAAACGCACTGTATATACGCTCGACGATGGAACTGCGGTAGTTGACTGCGCTATCGCGCATGCCCAAGCGCGACCTCCTCCAAGCCCTGCCAAACGGGCACCTCCAGCGCAACCTGCAGGGTTCACCAAGAAAGTGACGAAAGGGACAAAGCCATCTTATGGGGATTACCTCCTCTCCGCTCGCACAGTCCCCTTGTCTTCTTCCGCGGCATCTTCATCTATAGCATCGTCAACATCTACATCTACAATATCTAGCAGACGGAGTATCCCAGAACCACCACCACCCCCGAAGCCTGTAGCTTGTGTTGGCCAATCCGCACGAGTCGTCGGCCGCGTAGTCGTTCGACCCGACACCCGTATTGTTCTCATTGACGAGATTGGTGAGTGCTCCCCGTCGTCCGTCATGGAGGTGGCTGACTCTTGCAGTACCATGTGCTTCATATAATGAGGAATCTACCCATTGCATCGCTGTGTCCGATTTACATCGCACCGCATACTATCCTTCTGAGCCGCTGCCGCCATTCGTACCACCACCGCTACCAACATCAGCCACGAGTGCCTCACAATTCTACCCG